TATAAAAAAAAAGATCACCTAAACAATGAATCTATCCTGTTATGCATCTAGCCTGTGCATCTTGCTGTTATGGCTGCCCCAGCTGCTGACTTGCAGAGGCTTCTGCAAGCTTACCTCAAGGCCCACGGTCGAGGGGCCCTGGATGAATTGATGTTGGGGGTGAGGAGCGTAGCCCAGGAGGAAGGAGAGGCATCCGGTCAGCCAGACCTCGGGAGGGTCCAGTTCTGGATCGGTGGAGGAGGCATCCCAGCATCTTCAGGCAGCCACAGGTGAGTGTTGCGCCAGCACTTGGGATGCGCTGGCGGGAGACAGCGGTAGTAGTGGGTTTGCTGGGGTTGCTTAGGGCAGTTTTAGAGAGGCTCCCAGGCCCAGCTGCTAGCGTGCTCCCTTCCCAGTCCTGGGATCAGAGTAGGCATGTGGGGGTGCGTTCTGGGAGGGCGCGGGGGTGGTTGCTGGGTTGCGAGTTGTCCCCCCTAGGTATGCATGTGGCATTAGAGATTAAGGAGAAGATCATAAAAGGTGAGTACGTAGACGGTCCCTCCGGACCGGGAGTCAGTGGATAGACCGCGACGGGGGGATGCGGCAGACGGCGAGAAGAGCAAGCAGCTGCCGCGTACGTTTGGGAACTGGCTTCAAGGGGTCTCAATATTTGCGAGCGTGCTGACGCGGGCCTTCCCTGTGTGCTGGCTGGGTAGTGCAGGGGCGTCTGTTGGCTCTACAATGAGAGCCATTGCAAGTAGTTTGGATCGTGCTCTCATTGTGGAGGGGCCCACCCTGCCCTGCGCTGCTTCTAGAAGGGTAAGCAAGGTGGGAGGCCCACTAGGGAGGATCTCCCTAGAGGGGAGGACTCCGGTGAGCGTCCTTGGCTCGACAAGTACCCCAAACGTAATGATGCAGAGGTCCTGCTGGAGGGGTTCTCGGTAGGGTTTTGGATTCCATTTGTTCATTTGGATTCTCCTTCATTAGCGGACAATCTGCGTTCGGTAGTGGGGAAGTTGATGAAGGAAGGTCATTTGGGCAGGATGGCCGGCCCGTTTGATACGCCGGCATTTCCCAATTTGCGGGTATCCCCGCTGGGGTTGGTCCCTAAGAAGGAGCCTGGATCCTTTCGTCTCATTCACCACCTGTCCTACCCGTCAGACAGGTCAGTGAACGATGACATTGACAGGGAGGTGTCGCAGGTTCGCTATGCTTCC